AAGTAAATATATTTTTATAATGGTGCCAATTCTGGCGTGATTCTCTAAACTTATAACTAAATTTAACATCAGTCTCTCCTTCTCATTATTTATAGAGAATGACAAGGATATACTGCTGTCAAATTTTAGTTTAGGTTTAGAGAATCATGCTAGAATCGACACCATTATCGAAGTATTTTTAGAAAATGTTTTTCTAATTAAAGAAATCCTTTTTTACCGTGCGTGTATGGCCTATGGCCATAAATATCTACTTAGCTTATAGCGGAGAATAAATACAGAGGCCCAAGCCAAGAGTACAGTTTGTCTATAAAGTCGTGACATTAAATGATGGCGCCACTAGTATGCATGTAGCAACCCTGTACAGTCGGACCAAAATGATTTTGATACTAGCAGTTCATTCAAGTAAAATAGGTAATTAATAAGACACACTATACAGTCGTATTTTGTTTCTGTTTTATATATAGTAGGTACCTATGCTTATAAAAAGTTTAGCCAAGCATATTTAATTGAATCAGAATAAAATTATTATAGATAAAATAGTACTTTATAGTGTAAAAGTGTGTAATGTTGGTGATTACCGCTGAGGTGCCATTGAGACCAGAGCCGTTAGGTAATCATCATACGACGTTTTTTAACACACTTGTTAAGAAAATAATACTAAAAATCATTTTGTAGTATATAAAAAGTTTATTTAGAGAAACAATGAAATCACTAAAAGCATCTGGCCATGGTTCTTTATGTGACCATTTCTTTCTGTGGTCGGCCTTGCCTGTTTTCCCAGGAGTTTCAAACTTTCCATCATTTTTAAAACCTTCGTTGACTATCCGACTCTCTGATTTTCCTGAAAAAAGGTAAAAAAAATATGTAACGGAATAGAAACAATAACTTATTGACATGAAGCAATTAATTCAAAATTGATAGAAAACCTGACAGAGTTGAACCATAATAACGTATCAAAAGAAATGGTCGTACCAAAATATTACCTATTTATAGTGTCCGACCGAAGGTTCGGTTTCGGTTTCGGTTTCGGCCGAGTTTCGGCCAAAAATCAAGTTTCGGCGGCAGTTTCGGTTTCGGCCAAAATTGGCCGAAACTTTTGCCGAAACCGAAACTGATTACGGAAGTTGTCGTGCAGGCTCGCCTAACTTCGTTTCTCGCGGCAACGCATTGGCGGTTAATAAGATTTCGAAATACCAATACTTAGTATTTAATGAAACAGTAAAAATTAGTGATTTGATTATTGATAAAGCTGATAAAAAGGAGATTGCTCAAATTGGCCCAAATGCACAAAAAATATTGACATACACGGTAATTCTTGGCGTAATTTGTAATTTAATTTACAGTCATTAGATTTTAACGGACACCTTTGTATAATATATTCACTTTAAAAAGGACTTTTCATTTTACCGGTTTGGAAAACATATGAATCATTTTTAATGGCTATGGATGTAGTAACATTCAGCCAAAGACTGATCGAAGTTGTTCATATAACATAAAAACAAATCTATTTTGTAAAGATCGATAAAATAAATATTTTTTTTATTACACTGTGGTATTAATATCCACATCTATATTATCATTTTCACTACATGCAAATGTGCTCAGACAATTATTGGTTTAGATGGTACGACATCATAAAGTCTATTGCCATACATTTTTCGCCAAACACCTCCATAAACACATTATAGTCTGTTTAGACTTTAAGGTATCTATGAGCCTACGTTGCCTGACTATAAATAAATAAAATTATAAGGTGTGATACACTAAAAATCACACACACAATCACAAAAAAATGAAGCTACTGAATATATGGCTATATAACCTAAACCTCTTAGCTTTCTTTGGTTAACGAGAGTTGAAAAATTCTCTCTAATCTGTGGCTCATTCACAATCATCACACAGTTTCTGTTACAGAGTACCTTATTATAATCGGAAATGCATATATGACACCTGATTTGAAAAGTTACTCTTATGCATTAACGTTAAAAACAGGCAACCATCTGTTAATCTACATGCTCTATATACCTGAATCTAATCCATAATTTCGGTACTTGGCTTTATTTCCCTAGTTTACTATATAACTTATTTGTTTTTTATTATTTTAATATGTTCAGTGTATATGGTTTATAGAAGTTCTCAGGGGCGTCCGTCAATAATATTAGTTTTTACAGTAATTTATATATAATTTCGAATCTAGGAAACAATTTTTCATGATTATTGGTCTTTAGGCCAAACATGACATTATCATTACAACACAACATTATGTATGGAAGCTGAGCAATCTCCTTTTGCTATGAGAACTTTATTTGTATTTTTTTTAATATTTTTTTATATTATATTAAATAACTGATAAAAACAAAATTAAAAAAATACTGTGTTTCCAATTCAAGCCCTAATTAATGCAGAATAATCGGCAAAATGGACCAAATTTCAGTATTTTAAGGAATTTTATACTTGACCACGTGAGTTTCAGTTTCGGTTTCGGTTTCGGCCGAAACTGAAGCCACGGCCGAATGTTCGGTTTCGGTTTCGGTTTCGGCCGGAAAACCAGTTTCGGTCGGACACTACCTATTTACAATGTCAATCTAACCTAAAAATTGTACAATGTAAACAATGCCTCTTTTGGTCTCAAAATCGTAAATTGCTTAAATTTGTAACTTCAGGCAGATTACAAACAAATAGTTACACAATTACATACCCGTCATAGATGCTGTTCGCCCATAAACATCATCCAAATCCCACAAAATTCGTCCAGCTCCAGCTTGGTAGTCTTCGAAACATCGCTGGAAAAATTTAAAAAGCACTTCCCGCGTGCAACTCCGATTTACTTTACTCATTTTTATACCTTTCTGCGTAGTTTCGTCTTAATTTATTACAGTTTAATCCAAACAATAAAAAATACAAAAGGAAAACTGTTCCACAACTGAAACTCGATGACAGCTGATGTACATAAGTTTGGTGTTGCCAGACACATGAATAATGTTAGTTCCTCAAACGTTCATGTCACGACTTTATAGACAAACTGTAGGTATTTGACGGCTCCGTAAAATTTTGTACGTAAAAAGCTAGTTTGTTCTTAGGGTGCGGCCAGAGTGCACTCAGATTCAGAAAACAAGCGCGAGAAATAAACAGTGTAGTCTAAGCAGGTTGCCTGCTTTATCTCGCGCTTTGTTTTCTGAGTCTGAATCTGAATCAGGAGTTCACTCTGGCCGTACCCTTCGACTACACTGTTTATTACTCGCGCTTGTTTTCGGAATCTGAATCTGAGTGCACTCTGGCCGCACCCTTACGTCCGATCGGGGCGCTGCTGCTTAGTTTTCATAGAAACTTTGAGATTCGTGACGTGATACTTGATGCGATAAGTTACGCAAAACTCGTCCTTGGAGCTCAGAAACATTTTATCTATTGTGTGGCTGTACCGTAGGGACGAGCCACAGCTACTTTTTTTTGTCTGGTATATCTTACGCATCCGTCAACCACCGGGGAAGCGAGGAGAAGGTATGTGGGTCTCCTCCCTGCTCATTTTAGTCAGCCCTTGGGCCTTGCCTAACCAGACTTTTTTTTTGACCCGGTGAAATGCAAGACGCATGGGCATCGCTGGGTAAGGCGACGGGGTTATGTAGGACTCCTGCCCCCACCTCTCGTGCACCCACTCAGCCTCCCGTAGGGATGACCTACCCACTAAAACTCCGGTATATCCTCTGCCGGACATGACGGCGCGGCGTGGGTTTCTGATTGGGAATCAAACCACGCCGTGACCTAACCTAACGCCCTGAACAGGGCCACTGAAAACCAGACAATACTCCTGCACTGGTCACCCGACACGCATAGTGAGGACCGAGGTCCCCCAACGCGTGCCGGAAGTGCGGGTGTGGACGCGGCAACCGTTTCCGACTGAGCCGTGCTCCCGCAGGTATGGATGGAGACCCACCCAATGGAGATGCCCCCGAGCCTTAGGGGCATGAGCCTCAGCTACTGGGTAACAGATGGCGGATAGTGAAACTTCCTATAGTACCTATGTAAGACAGATCTAAAGGGAACCCTTGTTGTGGGTTACCCTGGCAGGGCGAAGCAGCCTGCCATTATCTAGGAGGGCGGATATCACGTAGAGAACGGCTGCATCTGTAAGTGATGGCGATCTGAGATTGGTTTATCGTAGAATCAAGTTTTTGGGCCAGAAAAATAATTTATTAAATCGATTTGTAGTACGGAATCGATTCAGTAACTCGATATTTCACGCTAGAAAACATACATTAGATTTTTTCTGTTTGGGTAAACACTGATCAAAATTGATTAGAATTTCTTGACAAATGTCTTCTTCCAGAACTCCCGGAACGAAAAAAACCCTATTCACTAATAAGATAGGACAAGCCAAAATAACAGCAACAACTCTTTTACTGCTATTAGGTCCTGGGGGCCAATCGCCTAACTGGATTGCTTTGGAAAACGCTATCGCTTACGATTTCATTTTGTTATTTCTAGCCGCCTGAGGTTTTCAAATGCCTCGCGCTCTTTTTTTTCTTTTGCATTGGTAATAACAATGTTAAAGAAAATGAGCGTGAGGTATTTGAAAACCTTCGGCGGTTAGAAATAACAAAATGAAATCGTAAGCGATAGCGTTTTCCAAAGCAATCTGGTTAGGCGATTGGCCCACAGGCCTACATTAACTCGATCATATTTCTTAAAATAACCAACGCTACAGTTTGTAATTCAGGAGTTCCAGTGTCCTCCGAAAGTACTTATGAGATCTTTATCAAGTTAATATGGGATTCTAACAAAAAAAGAATCATCAAAATCAGTCCAAACATCACAGACATATATATATACTGATGAATTGAGTACCTCCTCCTTTGCTTCGCCATCTCTAATCTTAGTCGGCTGCAGTACTGCAATCACCAACTATTGTTGGTAGCGTGTGATTATGGCTTCCATAATATCCTATCCATCCCAAAATCAAGCAAAGCTTATGTTCACAAATGGACACAGTGAGGCTGATAGTGATAATGTGGTCCTATATACCTATGATATTATTATACGTCATTGGGTTCTACCATACTGTCTTCTAATTGAGTGAACTACACCAAACATCTTAGCCAATAAATATAGAAAGACCACATCTCTTTGAAAACCAAAAATCAAAAACACATTAAACGCTACCATTTATTAGTCTTTTGACACTGTGTTTTTAATGGCTGCTTTTTTTGCTTTCTTCTTTAATCGCATTGCTTTTTGTTCTTCAGGTGTTTTCTTTAATCCCTTCATCTTTCGTGTTTGTAGCTTATTGATATCTTGTTTGCCCATATGGATACGGCCAAGTTTAGATCCAAACGCATCTCTTGAGATGTTCTTCTTGACACCTGATTTGGCTTCTCTTGGTACTCTGCATGCTTCTTTGTAAAGGTCGTTTGCTGCTAACTTGGTTCTTCTAAGTTTAAAATCTATTGAAGGTCCTGAAATTGTAAAACCTCAGAAACATTAAAATTGTTAGAAAAAGATCTATATGGTCCAGGCATCAGACAATACTTGAACCCGCTTCCTGTACTATCCGACCAGATGCACTGACCAAAAACGGAAAAGGTAATATAATTGCAACAGCGCTATTTTTCTATTATTAAACATCTAGCAGTTCAATGCTTAAAATAAAAATATATTAAAATTACATTCTTATAATGTCACAATAGATACATGTACATTAACATAATTAACAATTCTTTACTTTTCATTTGTATAATGTATTGTACATATTTTTCCTAATGCAAGGAATATAAAAACTTACCAATTTCTTCCAGTTCAACTCTAGGTGTCCTTTGGCCACTCTTCTTCAATTGTATTCTATATGACCTGACATAAATCATATTATTATCTGTTGCTGTAAAACTTAATGCATGTTCTAAACCTTGTAGCCTGATAGTCTCAACCTAAAATAATAATTTGGTATTAAATCTCATTTTAATTTAAGTAATGTCCTATTTTGTTTACAGTTATTACTGTAAATTTCATACAATAATAATTTGCTCTATCATATGGACAGTGGAAAGGCAAAATCGCTTATCATTTCTCACTTTGGTCTTTAATAAAGTTTTATATAAGTAAATCATTTTAATTAGAATTTATTTCTGAGTCAATCTGTTTATGTTTTGTGATGATTTGAGTACTTTTTATGAAACTGAAACTAGCAGCCGACATTCTCTTGAGACAATTTTTTTTTTCAACTAAACTATTAGAGTATCTTGGCTGAAATTACACCCACTATTTCTTCACCCTAAAAAGAAGTTTTGAAGAAAATTTCAGCAATTTCGTATGTGTAGGAACTGAGATACAGCTTTTTTTAAAAATAAAAAATCTTTCTCCTGAGTGAAAATATTTTTTTACAACTAAACTATTAGAGTATCTTGGCTGAAATTACTTCCACTATTTCTTCACCCTAAAAAGAAGTTTTGAGGAAAATTTCACCAAGTTCGTATGTCTAGGAGATGAGATACAGCTTTTTAAACAAAAAAAAATATTCTCGTGAAAAAATATTTTTTTACAACTAAACTATTAGAGTATCTTGGCTGAAATTACATCCACTATTTCTTCACCCTAAAAGGAAGTTTTGAGGAAAATTTCAGCAATTCCGTATGTGTAGTAGATTAGATACAGCTTTTTTAAAAAATAAAAAATCTTTCTCCCGAGTGAAAATATTGTTTTTACAACTAAACTATTAGAGTATCTTGGCTGAAATTGCTTCCACTATTTCTTCACCCTAAAAAGAAGTTTTGAGGAAAATTTCAGCAAGTTCGTATGGATAGGAGATGAGATACAGCTTTTTAAACAAAAAAAAATAATATTCTCTTGAAGAAATATTTATTTACACCTAAACTATTAGAGTATCTTGACTCAAATTACTTCCACTGTTTCTTAACCCTAAAAAGAAGTTTTGAAGAAAATTTCAGCAATTTCGTATGTCAAGGAGATGAGATACAGCTTTTTAAACAAAAAAAAATCTCCTGAGAAAATATTTTTTTAAAACTAAACTGTTACGAGTATCTTGGCTGAAATTACTGCCACTACATCTTCACCCTAAAAAGAAGTTTTGAGGAAAATTTGAGCATGTTCGTATGTCTAGGCGATGAGATACAGCTTTGTAAACAAAAAAAAATATTCTCCTGAGAAAATATTTTTTTACAACTAAACTATTAGAGTATCTTGGCTGAAATTACTTCAACTGTTTTTTTGTTTGAAAAGCTGTATCTCATCTCCTAGACATACGAAATTGCTGAAATTTTCTCCAAAACTTCTTTTTAGGGTGCAGAATTAGTGGAAGTAATTTCACCCAAGATACTCTAATAGTTTAGTTGCAAAAAAATATTTATAAGGAGATTTTTTTTTTCTTTAAAAAGCTGTATCTCATCTCCTAGACATACGAAATTGCTGAAATTTTCCTAAAAACTTCTTTTTAGGGTGAAGAAACAGTGGAAGTTATTTCAGCCAAGATACTTAAATAGTTTAGTTGTAAAAAAATTTTATCTCAGAATATTTTTTTTTGTTTAAAAAGCTGTATCACATCTCCTAGACATACGAACTTGCTGAAATTTTCCTCAAAACTTCTTTTTAGGGTGACGAAATAGTGGGTGTTATTTCAGCAAAGATACTCTAATAGTTTAGTTGAAAAAAAAAATATTTTGTCTCAAAGAATGTCGGCTGCTAGTTTCAGTTTCAACAATTTAATAAAATTATTTTTTAGGAGAGGAGATAAAGGTACCTAAACTTGTCACGTTAATTTTTAATATTATTTATAATTTCGCAATGAAAAATTCTAATTTTTAAAAAATATAGGGCCCGGACCCTATCTTCTATGTTTCGTGCCTGTCGGCTGCTAGCTGGTGGCTGCTAGTTTCAGTTTGATGTACTTTTTTGGAGCTTAAGCAACTAAATTTTTTGAAGATTTTTATTGTTTACAACGCTGAAGCGACATAAATTTTGGTGTTTTTTGAACCAATGGTGCTTACACCTTACTATGATTTGATGTTTGCTTAACAAAAATGTATGGCGGGCCAAGTGATTTTCGCTGAAGCTACATGACGTGGCTTAACTAACATAAAAGTCTAATTAATAGTAAAGGCACTATGTAACTTTTTAATAGGAGGATATTTAGAAAATATAATTTTATGAATATGTTTTTATTTTTATGGCACTACTTGTCATTTACAGATATGTTTTTTTTTTGTGAAAAATAAAACTTTGATCCTCATTTTTGTAGTTACTAAAGGGACATATAAGCGATTTTTTCCACTGTCTTTAATATGGAGTAATTTTGATATATGCTGTAGTGATAAGTAAAAATGATAAAAAGTAAAGGACCAAGAAACATACTGTCATTGATTTACTTTGTGTATGGTTTTAACTTAAATTAAGAAAAGTAGCAACTAATTTCTTGTCACATTACAATACTGTTTGCACATGTCATTTTGACTCCTTAATGGGATCATTTCAAAGAGGTGTGACAAACAGAATTTTAAATTTATGCTTTGCGGTCAAGGGGAACTAATACTCCTGACATCAATACACACATCAATTTGCTTCCAAACAGAAAAAAAAGAATATGAGAGTACTCACACTATTATAAAATAATATTAAATACCTTTTCTCGATGAAAGAAATCAGTAAAAAGTGACTTCAATCTTTTTAAGTCTTCATTTAACTCCCATGCCGGTCCATTAAAAAGAAGACACGGTTTTAAGCCAGTTAATATTTTCATATTCTGAAATTCTGACATTGATTTGAAGTTTTCTGCTCCAAGCTCTATCATATCCAAAACATTGTAATCAAATGTTCTGCCTAATACAATATTGTGTGGTCTTTTCTTGCTATGTGAGCCCACTCCAAATAAGGCAGCATCTTTTTTGTTGCACATTCTAAAACAGATTAAGGTTGACATGTTTATGTTTGTTATGAAGTCACATAAAAATCACATAGATAAATTAATACCAATGTTTGTCATTTTCTTTCTTATAGTAACAATGAAAACTGACAATGATCAATTTCAACTTTTGACTAGGTGTTTTAATCATTGCATGGATTATTTACGTACTTCTCAATAAGTGAAGCATCTTCAAAGGGCACAAAGTCGTTTTTACGAGTAAGATATGCAGCGTCGGGTTTCTTCAAATCGTAAATATCCTTAAGGATCTTTCTGGTGCGTTCTGAAGGATTTCTACCTTGCATCACTATGCATTGCTTTGGTCCTTCAATGGGCTTAGGCTCCTTGGACAATAATACCTTTTTACCCTTACGTGTAGTTGGCTTTCTGAAAACGAATAAAACCACGCACATGAAATTATAAACAAGATTAATGACTTACACAAACCTTCACAAAATACTTACTTTATTCTCTGCATAACAGGCATTTTAAATAAACCAAATTAACGCGAATAGAACAAATCGCACGTGTTATTCAAATTGACGTTTTTTTTTTATTAGCAAATGACATAGCCAGGGTACAAGTCCATAAAGCCGAACACATAGTACAAATACAAACTTAAATAAAATACAAACGTGAGATGCGTGAAACAGATTACTGACAACTTAAATTTTGACAATGACATTGACAGCGATAGAAGGATAGAAACAATAGAAAGTAAACAATGGAATAAAAATAACCTAAAGAAAAACAAATAACATATTCGTTTTGTCTTATTCTATATCTTATCTTACAGTATTTACAATATATTTATAAATTGGTTTAAAATAGCATGGGTTGGAGAGAAAATCTTCAATGCGGCGAGGAAAACAATTGCTCTGGTCTTCTGATTGAATATCTTGCAACTCGCAAATTAGTAGTAGACGTTGGATGTTAAATTCAGGACATGAGAAAATTACGTGATTTATGTCTGCATGCGGAGTCTGGCAATATCTGCATTTGTCGTTCGACAAAATTTTAAGCCTATGCAAGTGAGTTGGAACCAAACAGGGATATACTGTACTTCCAGGGCCCAAAAGTAAAAACTTCACAGTTTTGTTGGTTGTTTTTCTCATTTTTGTTGTTAAAAAGGTTTCTGTTAACCACATTATTAAAAAAAATGTCACACTTATGCACTGGTAGTTTTTTAGAAAAAAATATTGAAAATTTTTACTTTTCTTATCAAGTGGTGATACTTCACACTAGGTTAGGTTAGGTTAGTGTTGTGACCATAACGCGCGAGCAAAGCGAGCGTGCCGCGGCAGCGGCCGGCGAAGCGCCAGAAAAAAAAAACTGTTAAAAAGACCTTTTCTACAAAAAAAAAAAAGTATCACCTTTTGGGCCCTGGAAGTACAGTTTTACCCCAAACAGTGTCCAAAGCGCAGTCTGTTAATAGTTGTAATAAATTTTCTCGACTCACATATTGCATTATTATACCATGGCTTGTTTGGCAAACTTTTCTGTATTGTTGCGTACCATTTCCCTTTGGAATTGTTCCAGTGGTTCCAATAGTTAATCCACAAATGTTTAATTTCATCTTTCACTGATGATAAGTGATCTGTGTATGGTATTGGAAAGGTAGAGTGATCCTCTGGGTTATTTGCAATCAATGCTTTATCCACAATCTCATTTCCAGCAATGCCTCTGTGGGAGGGAACCCATAAAAATTGCACTTCTCTCTTCTGTATATACAAGTCATATAAAAGGTCTCTTATTTTATATATAATATGATTTACCTTAGAATCTAGCCTATTACTTTCTAATGCTAATAACACACTTTTAGAATCAGATATGACAAGTAAATTATGTACATTATTTACGAAAGAGTCTGCTTTTAAAATATACCATAAAGCTTGATAAATAGCATAAGCCTCAGATGAAAATACACTGGCTTTGTTATTCAATGCATATACTTTAATAAAGTTTAGCTGAGGGTCATAGAAGCCACACCTAACTACATCTTTATGACACTCCTTTGAACCATCTGTGAAAATTTTATAAAATCATTTCTGTTTTTGACAAATTGTAAATAATCATTATTATTCTCAATATTAGCTAAATGGACTATAACTTTTAGCAAGTATAAAGCATCATATTTGCATTTATATACAGGCCAAATATTATCACTAGCTATAAACATATGTACACATTTTTCTCTGATATATGTCATTATGGTACACATTTCAGGTAATTTACTACTAATAAGATTATTTGTAGAAACTATAGATTCTGTTATGTTATTTGCAAGTTCTGAAGGGAGAATCAAATTATTAACAATATGACTATTGTTAGCTGACAGCTGTTTAATTGAGAAATTTTGTGCTAACTGAAATCTTCTTAATGTTAATGGATGAATACAAGTTTCGGCTTCTAATGCATTTATTGGAGTTGATCTCATAGCACCACTAATGATTCTTAGCCCAATATTTTGGATGACATCTAATTTTTTCAATAAACTAGAACTGGCATTGAAGTAGGCAAGACAGCTATAATCAAAATGACTCCTTACTAGGCTTTTGTATAATGTGGACAATGTTTTGGGATCAGCACCCCAATAAACTCCAGCTAAACATCGAATGATGTTAATACCTTTCAAAGCATTTTTTGATATATAATTTATATGCTGCTCAAATTTTAGTTTGCTATCTACAATAACACCTAAAAATTTATGGCTACTAGTTTGTGAAATCAGTAAATTATTATATTTGATATGCACTGAATTATCAGAGCCAACTACCAATACAGCACTTTTAGATGAATTAATATTAAGTTTTAATTTATATCTATAGTAATACAATAACTGTTCTAATGATAAATTTAGTTTTTGTACAGCTAAGTCTACATTTCTATTAACACTATACAATAAAAGATCATCAGCAAATTGCAAGACTTTAACTTCAGGATTTATATAGGGTCATTATTTGTGACGTATATAAATTATACAGCATTGGAGACAGACTAGCCCCCTGCATTAATCCTTTATAGGATGTACTAGGTCCATGAATAATATTATTATATTTTACATATAGAGTTCGACCATTCAGAAAGTTATAAATCCATTGTATTAATTTTCCAGGAAAATTTAAATCATACAACACTTGACACAGGCAATCTATATCAACATTGTCATATGCACCCTGAACATCAAGGAATACACACACTGCCTGGGATCGAGAATATAAGCAATTTTTCATGTCAGATATATAGCTAACAAAGCTCTCAGAAGAACTACGTCCTTTACAGAAGCCAAATTGATTATACGGTAAGATTCTATTTGATTCTATATAATGATCTAATCTTGCTTTGAGCATTTGTTCAAAGCGCTTACCCACACAAGAAGACAATGAAATAGGTCTGTATGAGTTGTAATCACCTGTTGGTTTGTCTGGCTTTAATATTGGAATGATACACTGAGTTTTCCATGATTCTGGAACTACCTGATTTTCCCATAGTGAATTAAAAATATTTAATAGTACAGTTTTTGCTGATATGTGTAATTTCTTTAATATTACATAAGGGATATTATCTAGGCCTGGAGCTGTATCTTTTCTAAATCTAAGGGCTAAAATAAGCTCATTTATGTCAAATGCTTTTAATAAATAACTATTGACTGTATCAGGGTTAGAACTATTTTTGTTAAAAAGAAAACTTCTTTTATCAGATCTATTTGCGTTCTTTGGTTCAGAAAACTTTTCAATGAACTGTGGAATCCAATCATCATTTTTGAATAAACTCTATTTACAGCTCTCTTAAATCGTCTCATATAGTTCCATATCTGTGAAATAGGAGTATACCTATTAAAGGATTCACATAAGTTGTGCCAGCTATTGCATTTTTCCTCCTTAATAATAAGTTTTTTCTTGGCATCAATTTTTTTAAATGCTATGTAATTATCTAATGTCATGTTACTTCTGTATATTTTCAGGGTATCCCTAGAGTTTTTAACAGCATCTGCACACTTACTGTTCCACCAGGGGGCTGGGCTATGTCTGACACGGTTGCTATTTTTGTTTTTGGAAATAGGTACGCATTCTTGCTTTAATTTATCTATTAACTGACAGAAGTGGTCATAGGACTCTAAAGGGGTTTCTTTGTTCAACTCAAAATTTTCAAAATACTCTTTAGATTTAAGGAAAAACTTTGTCCAATCTGCTTTGTGAAAAAGATACCTCTGATTTGTATCACCTACTTGGTAAACCAATGGAGAAATATTTATGTCTATGAATGTTGGGTAATGAAAGCTACCTAGTGGGGTCATCGCCCACTCTCCACTGACACAGAGGAGCACGACTAGAGCTTATACAGCTAACATCAATTGCTGAAGAATTTTTATTAGGACCCTGTACAGTTGTGTGTAATCCTGTGTTCAAGATACATAGATCAGTTTCATCAAATAAATCATATAGTTGTCTACCACGTGCTTTAGTACTTTGACAGCCAAATGCAATATGATGCGCATTAAAATCTCCTGAAACTAGGCATGGTCTAGGAATAATATTCATTATTTTTTTTAACTTATTAATATTAAATCTTCTTTCATTTCCAGGAGGGCAATACGAGCATAAAATGGAGATGGGACCCCTATCAGTGAAAAGACATAGAGCTATACATTGGATCTCCTCATAAAAAGGAATAGAGATTTGGGTGAACTTTAACGTGTCTTTTAATAAGATGCCTACGCCACCACGACCATTTTTGGCATTATTATAGATAAAATTGTAGCCTGGAAATCTAATTGAAGATGTCTTTTTTAACCAAGTCTCATTTAACAGCAATACATCAATGACATGATCTTGTAGGAAACTGTTTACCAAGGGTTTTTTACTTATTAAACTTTGAATATTATGCTGAACAATTTTTAAAAATTGCATTGTGACTTTCTTTTAAGATTTCCAGTGTTTAATAAAAACTTCTTTAATATTTTTTGTTGTTTTAATTGTATTTGTATTACCCAAGGACACTAGTGTTTTAATAATGGAATTTATAAATTTTTCATTGCTTAAAATTAAATCTATATCTTTATTTGAATTAACTAACTTCTTGGTTGAGAAATTAGTGAGGGGAAGGGCAGGAAAACCGTTAACAGCCGAGTTTTTTAACACACTTGTGAAACTTTTCTTTTTGATATCTACTTTGGCCATTTTTATTGGGCATGACCTAGAAACTGCCAGATGATCCCCACCACAGTTACTGCATTTCAGAACTTCTGAATCACAGTCTCTGAAGCTGTGATCACCCGAGCACTTGGAACATACCTGTTCATTACGACAGACCTTAGCTGAATGGTTGAACTTCAGACATCGGTAACACTGCATAACTGGAGGAACGTATTTATGGACCTTGTATCTCCAATTATCTAGATAAATAAATTGTGGTAATATTGTGCCTGAAAAAGTTACAGAGATTGTTGTTGGGGGAGCCAAATCTGATCCAGTTTTCTTCATGAAGCGTCTAACTGAGATGATCTCAGCATCCGCGTTAAGTTTAAAATATAATTCTTGATTTCCCACTTCTGT